CCCCAAAACCCCAAAACCCCAAAACCCCAAAACCCCATATACTAGAGGTAATATTGATTCAATTATAATATATTGAAAAAACATGCAAGGTCCAAAGAACCAGAGCCCAAATGCGAACTTTAACAATAAGCGATCCAAAGTCCAGTTTAGTTCGAAGCATATTAAAGGCAAGAAGAAGCATGCCAGGACTAAGACAGAGCTAGTCGGTATGAATAAACAGCAAAGAGATCAGCCTCACAACTTCGATTATACAGATTCAAGTCCTTTTGGTCCTAAAGTTAATAACAAAAGAGGAGGTAGAAGGAATAATCTCAGTATTGAGAAGACCTTTGACTTCTTTGGCTTTGGAACCTCAAGCCAGCAAAATAATAATCTTAATTTTAACAGCACTAAGCCAGACCTTTCAGGGCTATTCAGAACAATGAATAATGGGGTAAGAGGTCCAAAGAAAAACTTTACTTCGGCTGCAGAAGCAATGGGATGAGAGAATGGTGGAGGACTACAACGATCAAGCTCTATCTTCTCAAGATCCTTTGGATTCTCAAGTTCATTTCATAATAAACATAATTCGGTAAATCTCGAGAAGAAGGAAAACAATCACTTTGAAACAGAAATTGACAATAGAGTAGATTCTTTAGAAAATGGGAAACTACCGGAGCAATAAAAACTTTTGATGAGAGGAAGTCTAAGCAAAAATTCACAGCAATGAACAGTACTATGGATGCTCGAACGATTGCAAGGAACCAATCCCGGCGAACCAATAGCATGGCTTTTAACTTTACTGGCAAAACATTTCATTTTAGAAGGACAATTTCAAAAGGACCAAGCTTTATGGATAGAAGAAAACTATCAAGGCAGTTGAGTATTAGAGACAATGTTGAGCATATCCGAAGACAAAGCACTTCATCCAATATTATCAGCTGTAGGATCTGAATGCTCCAAATAGTAGATGTTACCAATGATGCCTGCATGCCATGAGCATGCCAAGGATCTATCAAATATGTTCATATATCATGCATCGAAGAGTGGATTAAACAATCAGGAGCAATTGAGTGAGAAATTTGTCATCAAATGTACGATCAAAAATGGGTTGAATGGGCTATCGAAAATGACTATGTCAAGAAAGAAGTTCAAGAAGAGCCAGAACCTGATGAAGATGTGATAGACATTTATTGAGATAAACTAAAATACTTTTTCATTTTTATCATTCTGGTATTTATCCTCTATTTTGTAGTTTTCTTTATTACCAAGCAAAGTATGCCAACAAAACCTTTGAAAGATATGGTTTTCCTAATATGGAGATGATTTATAATCTTTTTAATATGATCTCTAACCGGCCTGTACCTCTTTTGGGTTCGAGTGCTCCGAATAGACTACCAAAAGAGATTTACTATAAGCTTAATAATTCGTCAAAAGCTAAGTGAAGTTAATGGTTATAACCTTCTCCAAGAGATTGAAGAGAACAGGGGAGACATTAAGAAGTACATGAAAGAGCTTAAGAAGCGGCCTCCGCCTGTGAACCCACCAGTTGGTCAAAATCTATCGGATTTTATCCCTCAGAACTAAATTTACCATTCACACCATCAATTCTTTCAAACAACAAAGGGGTTTTGGGGTTTTGGGGTTTTGGGGTTTTGGGGTTTTGGGGTTTTGGGG